TTTGAAATAAATAGGGAGAGAGTGGGAGGCGGATAGAAGAGGGATCAGTGGGAGAGAGATCCCTTGAGGTTTGTCCGGAGGGAGGAGGGTAACTTCTTCAGGTTAGGCATCCTTAGAAGAGGCCCAACTTGCCATACACACTATGACAACGGTGTGTATACTTACACGATGCAATACAGCAACTTGCTGAGTCTCCTTCGATGGCACCTTCCAAACCTCCAACTTTCTCCGTCTTGGAAAACAAGAACAGCAGATGTATGGGAATATCACCAGTTGCAAGTTCCCTTCCATGTCAAACACTATCTTAACTGGAACTACTTCACCATCTCACTTATTTTCACTGCCACTGGATCAAATCCTGGAATTTCCTAATATAATTAGAATTCCCTAACAACGCTGATTCAACTTTATCCAGGTAAGGACAGCAGATTTCCTTCACGGAGGCTCCAAAAGCTTGTGTTTTCAAATAAACCTGTTGGACTATAACCTGGTGTCGTGTGATTTCTCACCTTGTCCACCCCAGTCCAACACTGGCACCTCCATGTCATCGCTAAAGGACATTAGTGAACCAGGTGTCTTTTTCCCAATGATCAACAATGGTTTGATGGTCATCATTAGACTCTTATTTCCACCATCTGCTGCAGTGGGATTCAAACTCGGGTCCCCAGAACATTTTCTGGGTCTCTGGATTAATAGTCTACAGATAACACTGCTAGGCCATCATTGACCCTTGTTCCCTATTGTAAAGGTTGTGAGTGGAACGTTTATGGTTGGGGTCACTGGGTGGGAAATAAAGGAAATAAATATATGGAATGAAATATCTAGTGATGAAAAAATTGTCATTTGTCATAAAAGCTCATTTGGTTCAAAAATGTCCTTTAAGGGAGGAAACTGCCATCCTGAAATTACAAGAGCTGTCTCTGATTAGTCCAGCAACAGCCTGACGTAGTCATTCTCATGGAATTACATCTTGCACACATCCCAGACAACACCGTCACCATCTCTGGATCTGTCCTGTCCCACCAGCAGGACAGACCCAGCAGAGTTGGCAGCACAGTGGTGCTCAGTCAGGAGGGATCTGCCCTTAGAGTCTTCAACATTGATGCCAGGCCTCGTGAAGTCTCACAACATCGGGTTGAACATGGGCAAGGAAACCTGCTGATTACCAGTACCCTCACCCCACTGCTTGGTTGATGAATCCTTTTGATCCATGTTGAGTAGCTCTTGCAGGAAGCATTATATCTATTTCAAAGAAGAGCACAAATTTAATGGGCTGAACAGCTGCCTTCAATGCTGTATCACACTATAGTGAAATGCTAGCATAATGTGGATTCTCAGTACCCTGTATTAGTGAGGGAATTTCAGTAAGGATTTGCACTTTACATATCTATTTATTGAGCTTATTTCCTCACATTCCACTCTCCATTTTAAAAAAAAAAGACCCAAAAAGGTTTGGAGGTGTAAATTTAGATATTGGGCAGTGGTAGCAATTGTCTCAGGATATGACCTGTCATTATTTGAATAGTTTTCAATATCCACTCTGTGCTTGCAGATGACAGTGGCCACATGGTGGGTCTTCATGTGTCCAAGGGTGCTGCCACTACTGTAACTGTGGTCCCTGCCTTGAAATCAATGTACTTGGTGGAGAGGCTTGAGAGAACAATTAAAAAGTAATGCTATTTAAATTTAAAAAAAAAACTAAATGAAATTTGCGCCAGATTGGTCAATGATTTTTGGTTATGTGTGACCACTGACGGATAAAGAGGCCAGTCTTTGCTGTGCACTTGTTGCTACACATTGTTTTGAAAGTCAGTGGAATGATGTGTTGCCTTGCTTTTCAGGTGTTTGACAGCAAGATCTTGCAAACTTGCAAAATCAAACTGATCCAGCACATGCACAGCCATTTATAGTCTTATCAGTGATCATGCCTTGTTGATAAATACTTGAATGTGAGCTGAAAAGATTCTGTTTGTACGTTAGGTCTGCTCTATAAACGGTTAATTTATTTTACAATGTGTCGCCTGTTTTTTTTTTTTACAAAGTGTAATCATGTTTGTAATTCTCTACTTTTTTCATATTTTACTCCATAGACATGATTTCTGAACTCTCAGCACATGCCCAGTTCATTACCACTACATTCAGGCCAGAATTGCTTGAATCAGCAGACAAGTTTTATGGAGTGAAGTTCAGGAACAAGGTAATTTCACATTTCACGTTTTCACGTTTGAATTGGGTGACATAACTTAATTATTGTTACATTCACAAGTTATTGGAAAATTTATTTGATCAATTAAAATTTCAAAATAGGAGGCAGGCACTTCCTGAGTCATAACAGTGTGCACCAGAAAGTGCAGAACAAAAAACAATTCCTTTCAGGGGAGCATAAAAAAGTGCTCAGAAGTTAGTAGCCATTATCTTGAATAGCTAAATATAAGAGTGTGAAATCTTTGTCTTTAATGGTCAATCCACACATGTATTTCAGTCAAGAAGATAATCTCAAACCTTGATCATTTACCTGAGAATGACCAATTCTCTCTAACTTCTCTGCTCCGTTACATGCGATACCTTGCTTCTGGAACATCAGTCTTTGTAGGGTGGTAGTTTTGAGCAGGGGTTTAGAGTATGTAAAAAAACAACGATACCTCAACCTGGCTGCTGAGTAATACATTGTGTTGGTGTTCAAAGCACTTCACTAAATGCTTGTAGCATTCCTTGTCATCCAACATAAGATCTACCTTTTTAAGGAAGGGATTAGTTCAGGGTAGCATCACATCTCTTGTATTTCTTTGCCATCCCACCAATCAGTCTCAACACCATTCTGATTTCCATGTTTGTTATGCCAAATTCATCAGTCTTGTGCGTATAGAGTAGCTTTGTATTAATTATTTCAGTACCTGCAGCAAAAAGAAATCTTCGTTGTTCTTTGCAATATGCAAGAAATTATTTAACTGGAGCATGGAAAGATTAATGTGTTGTCATTTACTTGTTAGTTATTTTGGATAATTTATTTAGAATTTGATTTTGTTTCCTAAAATATTAAAGGGCTAGTCATTTAATTTATGCCACTTGGGCTTTTATGTATATTAAATGGGTTTCTAATATGGAAAGTTTTGATTGAGATCTTCCAGCTTCTGACATTTTAAGGGCTTGATGTTGTTTGTTTAAAAAGTCTTTTAAATTGTGTGTTGCTGGAGAATTTCACACCCTTTTTGGGAGTAAATGAAAACTGTGATGAAGTAGCCGTGTCCTAGTCTTTTTAAAAAAGAAACTCCTTGTCAGCTCAAAATCACGTTAACTTTTATTGTATGTCAGACAGACTTGAAGTGATGGTTCATAGCTAATCTTGTTACTATGTTTTCTATTTCCCTACCAAATCTTCATGATCCTTCTGAAATCTTGTGTAACTGCAAAAATAATGTCAATTCATGGTAAAGTTGGCTGTTAGAAATTGTTGTGGAATGTAGTCTGTTGAATGGCTACATTTCATTTAGAGGTGACAGGCTTCACTTTGTCTTGTGAAACCCACACTCTCTCTGGCATATATAGAAATTGAAGTCCTGGGGATGAATATTTAAGCTAAGTTTCTGAAGCTTAGGACCATGTAAAGGCTATGTTGTCAATATTAAAATTTACATGATTTTAAATTATTTCCACAAAATGTAATCTCTCGTCATATTGAGAATAAATGAACAGCCAAGTGACTTGATTTTAAGAAGTAGTGTCTATTTGTTCAGCAGTACTTGATAATTAGATTAATATCAGTTGAACCTGAAAGCAACTTGTCAAATTTGGAATCAATAAGGTACCATCACAGACCTTGCCATTGGGTGCGTAATGCAAATGATAAAGAATCTTTCTTCCATTATTAAATTTGTGCAGTATCGAAAACGTTGTTTGAAGAAGTTTTGAAGGTGCTTAAAACAACAAATAAAGTCTCCTCTTATTATTGCATGTTAAATCTTGCAGGAGTAAAATTGAGGTGCTGCATATTTTTGTCTGTAACTCATTTGGATACCTGAGGGACTTTCTCCAAGCTGATTTGGTTTGATTTATTGTAGTTGCATGTGCCTAAGTACAATGAAAAGCGTTGTTTTGTGAGCAGTACAGGCAGATCATAGCAAACATGGACATATACATCATAGGGCCCTTAGACAGAGCGAGACATACAAGGTCACAATTGCACAGGAGATGAGCAAAGCAAGATCCATATTATTTGAAGGTAGAGAGGTCCATTCAAGCTATTATTTTGTCTTTTCTAAAACATTTTTTCAGTCACAATCTTCCTATTTCTGCACATGCTATGTTTAAATTTGTTATACAGTTTGTACTTCATACTGTTAACTTCGAGGAAAAGTAATGCTGTTTAGATAAAATAACTACTTGTTTTACAGGTCAGTCACATTGATGTGATCACAGCCGAACAAGCAAAAGATTTTGTGGAAGATGATACTACACATGGATAAAAATGGGAGACCCTGACTTCCAGTTGATTGATCTTAAGTTGTATACTTTTTATCTGCAGGTGTGAATTATACAAGTAGTCCACATATTCATCACCCTAAACTCTAGGTGGTGACTGCATTTTAATATGGTCAACTTTGGAGCTATTCTTAATCCTATCTCTCTGAGGATAAACTGAGAATTTAGTTCCAGAGTCCTTGGCATTTAGGAAGTGACCAGTGTAGATATTTTTTTCCCAGTATATTGTGCTTCTGTTATATCTTTACTGGAATGCATTTTTTGAAAAAAGTCTGCTTCGGATATCTTTCTCACATAATTGAACTCTGCTCATGGTTTTGTAAAGTTTCTAGTTGCAGTTTTTATGCTCTTTGAAATTACCATTACAATAAATGGACCTTCTTTATGTAATTTTATCATTTCCACTGTTACGTTTCATTCTTTTAAAGAGTTGCAATAAAATGTTAGAGCAATATTTTAAGTGTCTTCACTTTTGTGTTTGGAGTGCCCCTGTTGTACTACATTTTGTTGGTAGGATTTGTGAAGTTACACATAGTTCAACTTTTACATGTACCACCGTCTAAGTTTAGACTGAAGCGCACAATAATGGGCCACATGTTGCAGTCAGTAATGAGCAAATCCTTCATTATACCTAATGGTGTACACGGACAATTTATGGAACATGTTGTGTTCTTCCCCCCCCAGTCCGCAACTAACATTATGGGAAAATTCTAGGACAAGTATGAAACGAGCAAAGAACAGTGTATCATCTTCACCAATCATATTTAAGAATTCTTAATGAGGCACACAGAATCTGAACTAGGAAGTATTGGTTGGAATATTGAATCCGTGACAAATCTGGAGCAGAAAGCAAAATAAAATGGGAAACAAATACAGAGAAGAGGGAAGATCCTTTAGAACCGAGACAATGAGAAACTTCTTCAGCCAGAGAGTAGTGAATCTATGGAATTCATTGCCACAGAAGGCTGTGGAGGCCAGGTCAGAGTATTTTTAACACCGAGATAGATAGATAGATAGATTCTTCATTGTCAGGGTGATCATTGATTGTCAAGGGGATCAAAGGTTATGGGTAGAAAGCCAGAGAATGGGGTTGAAAAATCAATCAGCCGTGACTGAATGGTGGAGCAGACTCGATGAGCCAAATGGCCTAATTTCTGCTGTTATGTCTTATGGCCTTATAGGATTCAGCATATATTTTTTAAAAAGTTTATTTTTTAAAATCTGGTACAATTAAAAGCTGATGGATTGAGATTTTACATTTGTAAAGCTCGTTTTCAGTCCTGGAGAGGTTTGATGGAAATAAAGACTTATGTTCTAAAAGTTTTTAGTTACACTGGTATGAACAAACTACTTTATAAACAGTTTGCTGCACTTTGGGGGGAAAAAAAATCTCTCTTGGATTAAGTCCATGTCCTGCCTGTGAAAACAATTTCTCCCTATTAAAACATATGAATTTTGAAAATAAAAGCAAAAACTGCTGATGCTGGCAATCTGAAAAACAAAGTGCTGGAGAAACTCGGCAGGTCTGACAGCATCTGTGGAGAGAGAGACCATGTTACGTTTCATTGAGGTAAAACACTGGAAATTCAGTCCTACTATTCCCGTAGTCATCACAAAAAGGGTAAAAATTTAAAATAAATAAACAAATACCCCACTTTTACTGATCTCCAGACCCAGGTTGATAGAAAGCACAGATCTGTTTTCTGTACTAAACAAGAGATGTAATTTATTACAAGTAATTAGACTCCAGCTGCACATAAACATTTATAAACAATTGACATATAACACTACAAATTAAAGTTCCAATCCCTTTTTCTGCTCTCCTTTTTACACAAACCTACAGAAAAATGGGCTGTGGGTGAAGGAAAGCTGGAAGCCAGTTCATTGAATCCTATTCATGTGTTACTGAGATGATCCTTATCACTTACTCTGGTCAGAATGTTACTTTTCAGTTTTTAATTTGCTTCCATTGGATTATAGAAGACACAAGGTGGCTGGTTCACCTATGAAAAAGTTATCAGTTAAAAGCCACAGCTTACAACAACCGTTGATGGAGAGGTGAACTGGATTTCTCCAGGTTTAAAATGAGTTTTGACTGCGGTTGATGATGGAGATCTTGTTACCAACCCAAAGCTGTTAAGTTAACAGAGAACCAATCTCTCAGCACTTGGTAAACAAACGGCTTTTTTCATCAGTAACTGGTCACTAGTTCGTAAACCGATAGCTTCTTGTGCACTGAGCCCCTCAGCTCCGGTTCATCTGTAACCACTTCAGTTACTGCTTCCACAAACAGCTGTTCACATAATGTGTGCCATGACTTTCAGGTGACTTGCTTTCAAAATATGTCACAATCCTTTAAAACACTTTCAGAAATAACTGTTTAAAAACCAATCCCAGCTTCTCCACTGTCTCCATATAACTGAAATGACTCATTCGTAGAATATGCTGATAAAACTCTCCCCATTCAGGATCTTGACATCCTTGTTGTCAAGAGTTGAACACTATGCCATTGCTTAAGCCTAATCTATGGTCTGCTAACAATGTGTTGTAATGTTGTTGAGGCCACTGCTGGAATAATGTGTACAATTCTGGTCTCCCTGCTACAGGAAGAATGTTGTGAAACTTGAAAGGGTGCAGAAAAGATTTGCAATGACATTGCTGGGAATGGAGGGTTTGAGCTATAGGGAGAGGCTGAATAGGCTGGGGCTATTTTCCCTGGAGCTCCAGGGGATTCCATTGGGAATCGTTCCATCGTAACATCAGAACCCTCAAATGGTCACAGTGGTGGAAATGTCGGGTGTTTAATAAGTTGTAAATGCGTGGTACTCCTTGCATGATAATGCCATTATTTTTACATGATTTTAAATTGTCGTGGTGGGTATCAGCACAGGTTTTGGTACTGCTGTTCACAATGTGCTCTCCTGTGCACTGGGAGACAAAATGCAGACTGGGCAACTGCTTTGCAAAACACCTACGCTGTCCACAGAAATGACCCTGAGCTTCCGGTCATCTGCCACTTCAATACCCCACCATGTTCCCATGGCAACATTTCTGCTGTAGGCCTGTTGTAATGTTTCACCAAACCTTAGCACAAGCTCAAAGTACAGCATCCCATTTTCCTCCTGGGGATCCTGCAGCCTCTAGGACTCAACATCAAGTTCAGTAACTTTAGAAACAAAAACAGAAATTGCGGGAAAAGCTCAGCAGGCCTGGCAGCATCTATGGAGAAAAATCAGAGTTCATGTTTCGGGTTGAGTGACCCTTCCTCAGAACTGGCCTTCCTCAATAACTTTAGAGCCTGATTCCATCTTCCCACGTTTTTTTACCCACCTCTACACCGGTCCTGTTAAGACATGCAGTACAGTACACAGTCACACGTTCACACCCATTCCTGGGCCCGTTATCAGACTACATGGTCGCATTTGTTTCAGCTAACCCATTTTCTTACTCATAGAGTCCTACAGCATAGAGATAGGCTCTTTGGCCCAATCTGGTCCATGCTAACCAAAATGTCTGTCCATGTTAACCCCATTTCCCTGCAGTTGGCCCATATCCTCCTAAATATTTCATATCCATGTATTCGTCCAAAGCCTTTTAAATGTTGTTAATGTACCCATCTCAACCACTTCCGCTGGCAGCTCATTCCATATGCGTACCACCCTCTGTTTATAAAAAAAAAAGTTGCCCCTCAGGTTCCCTCCTTACCTTAACTGATGCCTTCTAGTCCTCGATTTCCCAACCCTGGGGGGAAAAAAGACTGAGTGCATTCACCCTATCCTTGCTTCTCATGATCTTACACACGTCGAGAAGATTCCCCCCTCGGTCTCCTGCGCTCTAAAGAACAAAGTCCTAGCTTGCCCAACCTCTCCCTATACCTCAGTCCTTGCAGTCTTGGCAACATCCTTGTAAATTTCTTTTGCACTCTTTCCAGTTTAATAACATCCTTCCTGTAGCAAGGTGACCAAAACTAAACACAATACTCCAAGTGTGGCCTCACCATTGTCCTGTACAACTGCATCATAACTTCCCAACTTCTGTACTCAATGCCCTGACTGATGAAGGCCAGTGTGCTAAAAGCCTTCATCACTGCCCTGTCTACCTGTGACTCCACTTTCAGAGAACTGTGCACCTGCACTCCAAGGTCCCTCTGTTCCACTACACTCCTTAAGGCCCTACCATTCACCATGAAGCTCCTACCTTGATTTGACTTTCTAAAATGCAACACCTCACACTTATCTACATTAAAGGCCATTTGCCATTTCTCAGCCCACTTCCCCAGCTGATCAAGATCCTGCTGCAATTTCTGATGACCTTCCTCACTGTCCATGGAACTGCCTATTTTAGTGTCATCCACAAACTTACTAATCATGCCTTGTACATTCTCATCCAAATCATTGAGATAGATAACAAACCGCAATGGGCCAGCACTGACCCCTGAGAACACCACTAGTCCCAGGTCTCCAGTCTGACAATCATCCTTCCACTATTACTCTCTGTTTCCTACCATCAAGCCAATTGTGTATCCAATGTACCAACTCTCCCTGGATTACATGCGATCTAACCTTCCAGAGCAGTCTGCCATGTGGAACCTTATCAAAGACCTTACTGCAATCCATATAGACTATGTCTACTGCCCTGCCCTCATCAACCTTCCTGGTCACTTCATCAAAGAACACTAACAAATTTGTGAGGCATGATCTCCCATGCACAAAGCCATGCTGATTACTTCTAATCAAACCCTATCTTTCTAAATGCATGTATAGCTTATCCCTCAGAATCTTCTCAATGCAACTTACCTACCACAGATGTTAAGCTTACTAGTGTGTAATTCCCAGGTTTTCTTTGCAGCCCTTCTTGAATAAGGGCACAACATTCACTATCCTCCAGTCTTCCAGGACCTCACCCGTGGGTAACGATGATGCAAATGTATCAGCCAAGGGTCCCCGCAATTTCTTCTCTAGCCTGTTGCAGGGTTCTTGGATATATCTGGTCAGGACCAGGAGATTTATCCACCTCCATACATTCTAATACATCCAACACCTCCTCTACAGTGATATGGACTGTCCCCAACATATTGCCACTAACTTTCCTAAGTTTTCATGTCTTTCTCCACGGTAAACACAGAAATATACATCGAGGGCATCACCCATCTTCCGTAGTTCCACACATACATGTCCGCTTTGATCCTTGAGGGTTCCTATTCTCTCTCTAGTTATTCTTTTTTCTCTAATATATTTAAAGAATCTCTTTGGATTCACCTTAATCTTCTCAGCCAAAGCTATCTCATGCCCCTTTTTTTGCCCTCCTGATTTTCCTTCTTTGGTAACTCCTCCTGTATACTTCCAGGGATTCCCTTGATCCCAGCTGCCTGCTCCTGAGCCATGCCTCCTTTTTTCTGGTCAAAGCCTCAATATCTCTTGTCATCCAGGGTTTCCTACTCCTGCTAAC